TGCTCCTTTTAAGAGATTAAGACAAGGAGCCGAGCAAGGAACCATGTTAGCTGATGCCATCAGATTCTTTCATGTCATTAATCTTCCTTTTAGTGTTGACAGACAATTCCAACACATCATGACAAAATTTTTCTTGCAAATCTTTTTTATTTGAAAAAACTGATTTTGGGGGAGAAGGATTTCTTGCAGTATTTTATATGGAACCCCCCCCAGGTGGCAACATCTCAAAATGTATGTTGATGCTAATTGAAATAATACTATATATATATATATATATATATTGTTGTATCCAACACTAAAATATACTCTCTCTGGATTATAATATGTCATTAGTAACTAATTCATATTTTATGAAAAAAATTTATGATTAAATTTACACCTGTAACATTTAAAATACATGAAATGTCCAATCTAATTTTTTCGTAAACCTTTAGAAGTACATTTAGGACCGTTTATTTAAGATAAAAAATTAAATAATTTTTATATAATTAAATTTAGAAGTTTGATCCCTTAATCAGGTTTGGTCCCAAGCAAAATAACTCTATTTTGCGTCATCTACCCATCATGTTGAATCTGACCAAAGACCTAATATTTCAGGGTACATATGACATTTGAGGTTAACATGTTTATTATACTATAACATGAAATCGAAATAGCAAACACGACTATGTTGAGTATGTTACAAATACCAAAGAAAGAACATAATTCACATTTTTCTCCTTACTTCTTAAAATGAATTTTAATGGTCATGTGTTTATGTAACAAGTGAATATTAATATTTTTTGCAGAAATATTCTAAACGCCGGTAAGATACTTCATTTAGTTGTCTTATGTATAACCTGTGCAATGCACAAGAACCAATTTAATTTTTCTAAAAATGTTTACATCTTTACATTTATGCCATTGAGTTTTTCTAATAATGCATGCATGTTTTTTAAACACGTAACATTTAAAGACAAGGGATGTAAAAAAAAAAAGTAAGTGTATAAATGGTTAAAAAACATAAAACTTGATAAATGCTCTTATATTTTATATCAAGAGATGCTTGTATAAAGCGACTTACATTATAGTCTAGAGAAAGTAAGTTTTTTTTTAAAAAAAAACCTACAATAAACAAAGTTTAAGTGATGAAAACCATTGTTTTTGGCGTTGTTCTTTGGTAATGAGCATTCGGGCTGTCCACATTAAAGTTCAGATTTTTAATCTGGTGGTCCATATTCAAGGTTTTATTTTTATATTTTTATTTTATACTCTTCCCGTTCAAATTATAGACATTTTAAAATGTAAGATATTTTAAAAAAAATAAGTTTTTATTAAATAAGTCTATTTTAATATTACCTTTTCTTTTTATATAATTAATTTTCATCTTTTTTTTTTAATATATTAAATGATCAGTATTTTTAAAGTCTGCATTTTCATTTTAAAAAGATAAAGTTACTAAATATATTTAATGAGATTTATTGATATGTAAAATTTTATATAAAATTGTCTTATAATTTGAGACAAAATACTAACATAAAAATTTATAAAAATTCTAAAAATATACTTTGGATAGTTTAAATTTAAAATTTTTAAATTGTAACTTTTTCTTATTTTTTCAAAGTGTTAGTTTAAAGATTATCTTTATTTTTATTTTTTAATATTATATTTATTAACATAAAAATTTATAAAAATTATAAAAACCTACCGTTCAGATTGCTCATCATGTAATGGATGAGCACCGAAACCAGAGACGCTTTCATGGCATGATTAATGTTTAGCACTAAAAAGTATGCATTGATATTATACCCTGGTCTTAAAAGGAATCAGATGAGCTGATTTAAGGGCGTGCTCCCATTATTCTCAATGAATAAGATTTATACACACTTAATTTTATATATTTAATATATTTAATTTAATTAAATCAAGATATATAAATTTTAATGTGTTAATAATATTAATAATAAAAAATTATTAGAGAATAAATAATTTATAAATAATACACATGTCTTGATTTAATTAAAAATAAATATTTTAAATATATAAAATTAAATATATAAGTTTTGTTTTGGGAAAAAGAGAAATCAGGCAGGAAAGGCTTTTTTTCACACCGAATTGCAGTAATGAGAGACGCAGATCACAGACACACGTTTCTAATCAGATATGCTTAAGGAGCTATGATTCTCACCGATCAGGCGTTCTCCGACACGAACCCACCAAACTCCTTCGCTACAGCTCGGTCAGACCAAAGGGTAGCTCCTCCAACTCCAATGCTCGAAAGTAAAAAACAAGCATCAGTCAACTATTTTCAGTATTTTGTGTGCTCTGTGCTTTAATGGAAAATTGGGACGCGTTTTTACCTGGATCCGAAGCCGCAAAGGACAGCTCGTGTTCGAAGACCCTGCAAATGAAGCTCAGAAGTAATGATCTTGCCAAGGAAGAATTAACAATTGCATGCGAGACTCAATTCTCCCTTCAGCTAGAAAAGAAGTATGCTGATTCTTCAATCATCGCCTCAGATCTACTCAACCTTCTCTCTACTTTCAAGACAGTGTCTCACTGTGCAATTGACAAATGTTTTTTCCTGGCAAATGCCAGGCCTATACGGCTCTTTTCTTATACCATTTCAATATATACACTCACATATATTCCTTCTATCTTTATTTTTAATTAAATCACGTAAATTAATAAAAATTTATTCTTTAATTAAAAATACAGTAACATTTTAATTTTATTTTTAAATATTATAAATAAAAATAAATTTATTTTTTTAAAATAAATTAATAAAAATACTTATCTTTTTCTTTTTTTAATTTAATAAAAATATAATGATTCATTCATTAAAAAATATGACAACATTTTTTTATATTCAAAGATAAAAAAATTTTTAAAAGGTTTTTTGTATATAGGAATTGAGAGAGTATATTATATATTGGCTTTTGATCAAGGAAAAAAAAAAGATTTACCCCAGCCTTAATGGAAGCCTTTTGGTAATTAATTGAGCTTCCTTTGCAAGCTATAGCAGTATAATTAACTAGTACTTCCTCAGTTTTTATTTGTAAAAAAAAAAATTATATCACATAATTTAAAAAAATTATTTAATTATATTAATTATGTTTAAAAATAAAAAATTAAATTATAATATCATTTATTAATTGTGTTAATCAAACATTCATTAATTATATCTTATAATTAGGAATGATAAAATTATGAGCAATAATTTAAAAAGTTTGCAATAAATTTTTATTAAAAATGTAATTTTATTCATATAAAAAATAATAAAAAATGATAATTTTTTTTATAAATGAAAATAGAGGGAGCACTACTACTAGTAATAATTTGTGGCATGGCGTGCTGTAACAAATTCCGTGCAGCAGCGAATATTTCCGGCAAGGAGCCTCTGTTTCAAAAGGGATTCAAATCTCCTTCCGCCACAAAATAACACGACATCGGAAATATCAGTGCATTTTTTTCCTACGCCAACAACATCAATACATATTTGTTGACGTATATTACGCGGAATTTCATCGCTCTTCATTTCAATGAAATCTGTTCTTTCCGGATAAGCCCCGCTTTGGCTGGTTCTCTCTCCATATAAAAATGATAACATCGTGTCATCCTCTCACATCACTCACACGAGGATATTAGATATATACCCAGCCTAGTTAATGTTACAATCGTTAAAATAATTATCATCATTGCCCTTTTTTTTTTGTTACTAGCAAATGTAATTATCAATATTGCTTTAAAAATGATCTACACGGTTCAGATGTTTTTATGGGATCTTTAGTTTATTTAATAGTGCGTGGAATATGTCGTGTAGAAATAGAAGAGAGAATATGGGGGAATCATGAGAATAGAGGTGAAATGCTTTTCCAGCTAGTTGGTGGGTTCTGCAAGCTGAGAGTCGAACAAGTGGGTTGGAAAGTCGGAGCGTCTTGAGAAGATAATAAATAATTAAGGAAAACCGAAGCTGTACTTGCTTATTGTCTGTTTCGAGTTACGGACCAAAAACAGAACTGGTGTTCTTTCTGTGCTCAATTCCCCTCCTCCCCACTGTTTAAAATGACTTAATGGGATTGCAGACTATTTCGAATTGAGTGAAGTCAAAATTCTTTCAAATAAAAGCTTTACCATAATGTTGCTATGATCCTGGAGGTCTCTGATTGAATTGATGTTATTCAAGACCCCTGGTTTACTCTCCTCTCTTTTTAGTTATGGACAATATGTAATTCTCCTGCCCTGGAAACACAAGCAAACACGCGTGGAATTCTCTCCCTTTACCTGCAATCATTGTTCTGATCTTCACGCGCTTTAGCATATTTGAATAATAGTCAATATCTTGGTAGGGTCTCCCTTTACTCCACTTGCTAGCCCAACCAACGAAACAATCGAATTAGGGATAGTGACTTATTTTATGGTGTACATGTGATTATTATTATTATTTTGAAGTGTGCATATGATCATGTTCATACACGTCATTGAAAAGATTGCTCATTTACCCTAAAGTGTTCATAGAAACTTGCTGACTGTGAATGGGGAAAAGATCAGTGGTTTGCTTATTTTATTTATTACCTTTTCCTTGAACGCCTCTTGCTGTTTTGTGATTGGGTTCAGAAAGTATGGTATCGTTGATATCTTTCCATTGCCATGAACGTTGCAGAGATTACATCTTTTGATTGTCCGTGTTGAAATATTGTGATGGTTTAACCGATGGTTATGGTAAAATTTACATAGCTAACGTGTTGGAATATTTAAAAAATAAGGTCAGCCTCAATTTTTGCTGGTGATGTTATTGACCATTTTGTTGCTATGTCTCATGCAAATGCTGTCATTGCTGAATATTGGATTGCTAATTTTCCCGACAAGCCTACCCCCATAGCATTTGACATGGTCTGGTGCATTCGGTCACCTCCATTTGGAATGATCAAGACCAATTGTGATGGCTCTTGTCTAAGCCCCTCGGCCAAAGCTAGAATTGCTATCATTTGGAGAGGTCCTGACTGCTCATTTATCAAAGGATAGCGTGAGGAAGTTCATGCTACAACTGGATTCATGGCTGGATTGCTTGCCTGCAAAAAAGCCACTTCTCTTATGGATGATGCTCAACACCAAGCCTCTCTCTTAGAAGTTGATTGTCAAGACTTATATAAAGCTTTCTAAAAAGGGGGACCATTGCAGCTAGACTTGTCAAAGCTTGATGGCTGCACTCTTGGAATCTATTGAATCCTTTCCCTCTCTTCACCTTTACCTGGTCAAACGACTAGGGAAGATCTGGCAGATTATCTTGCAGCCTCTGCATCAAAGGGGGTGAAAAATGGAACCATCACCTTCTCTTATTAACATCGTCTCTAAGGACTCAACTTCTTTCAAAAGCTCTGTGCAATCTTTTGTTGTTCTTGGTCGTGATCGTGCGGAAACAGGCTAAATTTAATTTTACTGTTACTGTTATTTGTACGCCTCTATCGCTAGACTTACGGCTTAACTCTGTTATGCTTTCTTTCCAGTTATGAACATATTCCCTTCCAAAATATATATATAGAGCCAACGTGTAGGAAAAAGAATTGCTCGTGTCTTTCCGCCACCACCCTGCTAGCCTCACTATCTCGTCACTTTAGTGTATTCGCATTCTTTAAGGGCCGGAGTTTTGATTCCGAGGAAAAGGAGGGTTTCCAATTCCGAGTGCTTCGCACGATTATCGCAATAGTTTATTTTTGGCAACAGAGTGATGGCGGGTTCTTCCGAGACGAGGCTCGTCCAAGATTTGTTATTATACGCGGCGAGTGCGGCACTCAGCTGCTTGGTTTTGTTCGCCGGGCTTCGACACCTCGACCCTAATCGTGAGACGTCAAAAAAAGCTCTTCAACGCAGGAAAGAGATAGCTAAGCGTCTCGGTCGTCCTGTCATTCAAACAAACGCTTATGAGGTGCCGTTTCGTTTTCTAAATATTTTCGTCTTGCATTTGATATGGTCCTGGGGGTTTTACTGGGAAATTTTTTCTGGCAAGCACTTGAGTTTGTTGCATTATAACTTTTAGGACTAGTCTGGGCTTGTTAGGATTTTGCTTACTTAGAGTTTCTTGGGTTTTGATGTTGTTTGGTTTCTGCAATGGATCATTGATAGAGGTTGGTTTTGTGATTTGGAAAAAGAAACCAAAATCATGGGGGTTAGGGAACTCGCTCTTCTAGTTCAGATGAGCTTCGAGTAGATAAAAATTGTGCAAATTTGCGTACGATGAATGGAAATTTAATCTAAATATGGCATTTAACTACTAGTTCCCAAGTCATGTCCTCATATGGTCTCGTTTTCTTTCGGGAAAAATTGATTTATTGTATAAAATGGGGTCTAGAGCCAAGAATATTTTAAATTTGCCCGCTCTGCTGTGTACAGGATGTCATAGCCTGTGATACTATTAATCCCGATCACATTGATGTGAAGTTTGACTCTATTGGGGGACTACAAACAATCAAGCAAGCTTTGTTTGAGCTTGTTATACTGCCCCTGAAACGACCTGAACTATTTTCTCACGGCAAACTTCTTGGCCCACAAAAAGGGGTCCTCTTGTATGGACCCCCGGGTACTGGGAAAACCATGCTCGCTAAAGCAATTGCAAAGGAGTCTGGATCAGTTTTCATTAATGTAAGGATATCAAACCTGATGAGCAAGTGGTTTGGCGATGCCCAGAAACTCGGTAAGTGCTCATCATGTACAAAGTTGTTGACGGTTTTCGTTGTGGTTAATTTTACTTGTTTATGAGAGCTTGGCATGCAGATTATTGAAACTGTCATACATTTTTATTTGTTATTGCTTATGAGTCAAATGTTATGGAATCTTGTTTCTCGCATAAAAGTGTATAAGATGTGACTCGTTGGGAAGTTTTGATGATTGAATTTGACTAGCATCGTTCTGCTCATTGGTCATTGCTAGAACTATACTTTCATTTTCCTAACCTTGCCTTTATGATTAGATTCATTGTACTTACTTTTATATGCTCATTTTTCTCCATTTGAATTGGTGATTCTTTTATTTGTTTGATCATTTATTTTCTGCTGTCTTTTTTTTTTTTTGGCAGTGGCTGCTGTATTTAGCCTGGCTTATAAGGTCCAGCCCGCTATCATATTTGTTGATGAAGTTGACAGCTTTTTGGGTCAGCGCCAGCCAACAGATCATGAGGCAATGTTAAACATGAAAACTGAGTTCATGACTTTATGGGATGGATTTACCACCGATCGTAAGTTTGCAAGCATATCTTGTAATTTTCTCAAGGACCAAACATTAAAACTAAGTTGAAGTTTGACAATATTATCTATGTAGATTTACTTGGTATCCTTGAGTTTTTCTGGCTCTGTCAGGCACTTTTAGGTTTGACATTTATATATTTTTCCCTTTTTTAGAGAATGCTCGAATTATGGTCCTTGCAGCAACCAATCGTCCCTCAGAACTTGATGAGGCCGTTTTACGGCGGTTTCCCCAAGCCTTTGAAATTGGACTTCCAGATCCAAGGGAGAGGGCTGAGATATTGAAGGTTATCTTAAAGGGTGAGAGAGTTGAAGACAACATTGACTTTGATCATATAGCTGCCTTGTGTGAGGGGTATACCGGTTCAGATCTCTTTGACCTCTGCAAGAAGGCTGCCTATTTTCCCATTAGGGAATTGCTGGATGAAGAAAAACAAGGGAGAAATGCTCCTGTGAGTTTGTTCATTATTCCCTTCTACCTTATCTCTTAAATCTTTTCTGCTTCTGCAATAGTGAATGGCAAGATAGGGCATTCTTGACTGGATTTCATATTTAGTGTCAAATTTTGTTGACAAGCGAATGCTACATTTTGACTTTGATTATTGGAAATTTTTTTCACGAGGCAAGAGCTATATTTGCATGCCTGAACTGCGTTCTTGGTCCATGAAAAGCAATTAGTTGTGTCTGATTTGACTGTTGCTTTTGATTGTCATATGCCTTTTTAAGGGGTTTATCAACATGTTTGGTTGGGACAAAATTTCCAGATGATATGGGATTTGAGTGGTTATCTGCAGTTTTCTCCCTTTCTCTCTCTCCAATAAAATATATGGAGTCAATTCTGAAATATGAATGCTTAGTGTGTGGTTCTATATATTGTAACAGACTGATGATAGTGGCACATGAAATTGAAACAGGTTAGTCATCTTAATGGCTGTGTCAGGATAAATTATCTTTGTGACTTCGAATATTTCTTCTTTTCTCGTTTCAGGAACCAAGGTATTTGACACTGTCAGATTTGGAGAAGGCTCTCACCACTTCGCGAAAAACAAAGGTTGCTGCTGGTGAATACAGTGGATTAAATGTACAGTCACGGAGAAGGCCAGGACACAGGGAGTCAGGTGATTATCAGTTTCAAGATGCAATCAATGAACTCTCTAAGCTTGTGGTTTCTCAAATTATTAACCTCCAATCAGATGCGCAGGATCCATAAAATGCTTACCTTGTACTTTCTCTAATTCTCTTTATAAGTCAGTTTTACCAACCCCATCAATATCAATATAATAAAAGTACAAAAAATAAAAGTAAGTAAAATTTTAAGCATAACTCTCGAGTAAAAAGCAAAAAGTAAGTCAATCATATAATATTATTTTTTGTCTCTCTCTCTCTCACTTTTTATGGGTAGTTTGGGGGTTTCAATTTAAAATAAAACAATCTTATCAACTAATGACTTATGAAGTGAACTAGATTTTGCTTTTAAAATGTGACTAATATACAAGATCGAAGGGGTATTCTGTTTCAGTCATTTAGCTTAGTCTTAATCATAACGGCATAACAGTCCAAATATTGTGGTTTGTACATAATAATCCAGTAGCTGTTTTTAGCATGTCATATTGTAAAATTTTGTCATTTATTGAATATAACACTTTAGTGATGCTAATATCAGTTCTATATATCATGTATATTCACCTGGAGATATAAAGCGGCAGCTAATATTGTTCAGGTTTCATACGTGTCCACATTCTTTAACCTATGGTACTGGGTAAAATATGTAATTGTCAAAGTAAGTTCAATCAGACGAGAACGGTGTCCGTATCAGAGAGTTGAGCTATGTCGAGCATGGATAGTTGTTGCCTCTAGTGGTATTGGTATTATATAAATGATTAATGATTAAATCCATGATTAAAGTTGTTTGAAGTTTGAACTTGAATCTAACGTTGACCTACCTAACAACTTTAGTAGAGTAAATTTAAGATTCAGGATGATGCAGTAGGCAAGCTGCCAACAGCCATGAGCCATCAAAGATTGAGACCCGTGGGTATTCCTGGCAGTGAGGTGGGTTGGCCTTTGGTTCTCTCTCTTTAAGCGACGTGGATCAGTGATCTCTGTTTCTTTTCTGTCTTAAATAGTCTTGCTGGTCCACCCCGTTCGGGGAAGATGGTGCCTAACCATAGCCCTTGAAAGGTGCAAGCTACCGGTACGGTATCACGTTCGTCCATATGATGCATGCGATACTGGACCCAAGTATTGTACTTTCTTTCTCCTCTCAAGCATACTTATACAGTGAAGAAGGTAGGGCCCTTAACGAAGCCCATGCTACCCTGTTTTTTTCCCGCTTCTGTCTTCAATGATTCTTGCCTCGTGGTTCCATCATGACTAAAAGAAAACCTTTCCAAGGGATTGAAAGAAATAGTGTATCAAGTTAATTTTGTACTGATCAAGGAAAAGGTGTTAGAAAACTAAGCGGGTGCCACGAATGTTTTTCTTTTCATTTTCGGATTTGGACTTGTGAGGTGACCAATTGGAATAGAAATAAAAATCCAAGGGTTTTTAATCAAGGGTTTTTGTTTTCTTTCGTGTATAATGCAATGAAGGAATTCATAGCAGCCCCCAACCATTGGTTAAGGCAATCCTGGAGGGTGAATTTTTTGTGGCCACTAACAATTTATTTAAGCTTTTAATTAGTTTGGATTAGAGTTGGGAATAAAGATCGAGCTTGGAGGAGTCGGGTTTAGAAACTCTGTTTAAATAAAGATTCGAGCTTTAAAAATAATTTTTTTTATAAAGTAATTGGGCTTGAAGATTTGGTTTTGATAAACTCTACAAAAAAAGACTCGAGCCCGGGCGGCTTTTTAAGTTCTATTATATTATTATTTTTTTTTTTAGTAGAACATATGTTTTGAAGTCAATGACTTGCTCATTGGTCCTACACACATTATATTATTATTAATTTTAATTTATTTTAAAATTAATTTAATATAATTTAATAAATATCAGTGTATAGTATAAAATTTATGATATTTTTTATTTTTTTATAATTATTATTTTTGTGTATTTATAAAAAATGAATTATTTTTTAATCAAGATTTAAATTTTATTATTAGACTTTTACATGTGTGTTGTTTAATTTTTAAAAAATTATGAGAATTTTAATTTTTTTAATTTCAAAATATTTTAATTAATTTATAATGTTTAATTTTATTTTAATTTTTTTATTTTTTAAAAAAAGGACTTGCAGGTTTCACATGAGGATCGGGTTTAAGAAATGAGATTTAAAATAAATAATCAAGTTTTAAAGTACTCATTCGTATTTTCAGCTCTAATCTGAATGGACAACTTTTGATGCTGACTAAACGCATTATTGATACTGTTCAAAGACTAGAATGATTCCAACTGTTAATTCTAGCATTCTTTTTCTTGTTTGTGCCGCCAGACGAACAAAATTCTCCTCCAGCAAAGGTGACTCTGTCCGGCCCCGGCTTCAGAAGAAGGAAAATTGGGAACAGCTGCAATTTTGGTCAGTTTTTTTTTTTTTAAAAAAAAAGATCTGTGACCATGAAAATTTACTAGTGGCAGCTCGAAACTAGCAAGATGACTAACGTGTCTTGAATGCAATGTTAATTTATTATTTCTTCCCCCGTCTTTTCTTTCGTCGTCACGATTCCCGGGTCCCTATCTATTGAGCATTATTGACTTTACCCAAATTAAAAGTAAATATATTTTATTTTTCTTCCTTTACCTTTCTTCGGACATCGTGTTGAGCCAAAGTATTTTCACGGTTCAATTTTATGGATAACAAACGTAAATTTGAAATAAACTAAAGCTATATCATGTAATTCATATTGTAATTTTGTTTGAAACATTAAATATAAGTATTTCTCTCAATAAAACTTTAAAAATTAACTGATTATATTGTGAAAAACTAACTCTTTTTATTAGATTTAATTTCATTGGTGCATGTAATTCATATTGTGATTAGAATGAAAGTATGACTCATATTCATGTTATATGGTTAAGATTTTTAATTTAATTTAATTTAATTTAATTTTTTTTTTACATTTTAAATTCAGAAAGTAAAAGATAAATATAACTTGGTAAAAATGAAGTTATCACTTATCACTTGAGGAATTAAGGATTATACATTATAAATTTGGATCATCTAAGTTAAATTTGAACAGGCAAATCCACATCAAGAATGAATGTATACTGAATATAAACTTAATATAAATGTAATTAATAATTAATAATGTCAAACATTAATATAATTTTCAGTCAACGGCCACGTGCAGATACTTCAACGAATTTATAAAATTTACAGGTAAAGAGAAGTAAAACAATGGCTCGTGGATAGAACAAGAACGGATGACTCAGTATTTATTCTTGCCATTTGCTACGTAATTTAATCAAGACAGGCGGCCACTAATCTATCATTTCCTCCGAAGTTGGACTTTATCAATCACATGACCCCCATGGCATTGAACATCATTGCTAATCAACTCATCCATCCACCAGAATGATAAATGCATTTAAAAATTTCACAAAAGAATAATCGGCCACCAAAAGTTAGGAATCTTGAAAAACAAACGCTCAACCATCTTCAATTAAAAAAACAAGAATACCACCTCGAAGGGGCCCGCTAGTCACATATTCACAGTTAATAGCACGAAGAGTAAATTTTCCAGTGACCTGTTAAAGTTGCCAATTGCCCCCACTATCTCTCTTCAAAGTTCCAATTCATACGACCATCATTCCGCCGATGAACGCCCCCGGGGTCTTCCTACCTTCGCCGGCTTTTAAATCTCTCTGACTGGCCGAATCTGCATGCATGCTCATGGAGTAGCATTTGATTTCACAAGCTCCTTACAGATTTTCATAGCGGCTGCCTCCATCTCTTCCATTTTCTTCGCCCTTCTCTCTCTTCTAGTCCTTCGTTTTTTCCGCAAAACATCCCTGGTATATATTCTTCAGAGATGGTGGTTTACCCTTGAAAACCACCTCCATATTCACCAGTCCTTCAAAATCCCACTCTACAATCAACATTACCAGGAAAATCAACTGCACCAGAAAACTCTCTCGTTCCTTAACTCACTGCCTTCCGTTGAAGACTCTGATTTCACTAAGCTCTTCTCTGGTTCCAAACCTAGTGAAACTTTCCCTTATCTCGATGCCAAGCAGACAGTGGGCGACACTTTTCTTGAAGTCATAGAGTTTCCTGGATAAAGGAAAAATCTGAAGGAGACGTTAATTCTGCACTGGGACTCAGAATCAAGAAGAAAGATAAACGCAGAATTTTCCGTCTGTACTTCCAGCACATCCTCACGGTGGCGGATGAAATCGAACAGAAGAGAAAAGAGATTAGGTTATGCGTGAACTCTGGAAGTGACGGGCACTCACGGTGGCGTTCGGTTCCATTCACTCACCCGGCGAGCTTCGACACGGTGGTGATGGATGCCGAGCTGAAGAATAAGGTCAAATGCGATCTCGAACTGTTTGTCAGGTTCAAGCAGTACTACAACCGGTTAGGCCGTGTTTGGAAACGGAGCTACCTTCTCTACGGGGCGTCCGGAACGGGAAAATCTAGTTTCATCGCAGCAATGGCGAGGTTCCTCTGTTACGACGTCTATGATATTGATATCTCCAACGTGTCGAACGACTCCGATTTGAAGATGCTATTGCGGCAAACAACGAGTAAATCGGTGATTGTCATCGAAGAGCTCGATAGATTCCTTGCAGGGAAATCAAAGCCTGTGAGTTTATCAGGCATGTTAAACTTCATGGACGGAATTTTATCGTGCTGTGGGGAGGAGCGGGTGACGGTGTTTACGATGAACGAGAAAGATGAAGTCGATTTGGCGGTGCTGAGGCCTGGAAGGATTGACGTTCACATACACTTCCCCTTATGTGATTTCTCCACCTTCAAGGTTTTAGCCCGTAGTTATCTGGGGGTGAAGGATCACAAGCTCTTTCCTCAGGTGGAGGAGGTTTTTCAGGGCGGGGCCAGGTTGAGCCCGGCCGAGATCGGCGAGATCATGATCTCGAACCGGAATTCCCCTAGCCGGGCCTTGAAAACCGTAATCACGGCCATCCAAATCAACGGCGGTAACGGGAGGAGGGGCCAGAGGTCAGGCGACGGCGGGTCGTGTCGGAATAGCAGGGAGTTGGGTCAACCTGACGGAGTTGTGCGCGAGGGGAGTGTTCGTGCGATGAGGGAGTTCGGGAAGCTCTATGGGCTTTTGCGTTTAGGAAGTAGAATTAAATACGATCATTCTGGGCCCATTAAGAAAGAAGGCCCACGGATCCAAGCCTAGGACCAGAAAAACAGTTCGGTTTTGTTGGGTCGGGCATGGGTCTGGCATAAGTATTGTGCTTATATTGTTTTAGAGAGGTCTCAGTGACAGCCGGTTTAGAATATGTATATTGTTTTCCTTTTCCATGTGCTTGCCGAATGATCACATTATTTGTTAAATATGTCTTCCCATGCATTAAACAAAGTTGAGAAAATGGGACACATTATATTTGTAATTTGTAACAAATGGTGCGGTAATATTATAACCTTGATAACAGCTGCAACAAGAAGTGGGTGATTTTTGGCGAAAAAGACTGTGAAGCTGGTCACGGGAAGGGAATGGTTCAGGAGCTGTTTGCAATTACAGTTAGTGGTGAACCAGACAGTTAGAAGAAAGGATGAAAATAACAAAACCAGTGTCCTTCCTATCTAAAGGATGGTCAACTTTATTATTTCTGGGTATTCTGCATTTTGAGACTCTGGATTATTGCAAGATAAATCTTGAACTGCTCGTGATTGTGATTAGTTCCTTTTTGGCTAGTAGGGGTCCTTTCACATGGATAAAAATCGCTCGGGACTATGATTAATGCAATATAAATCTTGAATTGAACCTAATTTTATTTTCTTTCCTTGATCTAACCCTCAAGGCAGAACAAGGGACGACCTCTTTTCTTGTGGTTCGAGCTCGAGACCTCTTTTTGTTGGAGTCAGATTTATTGTGATTTTTGGGTTAAAAAATGACCATTCACCCTGAAAAACAAAGAGAGGTCATTTTTATGTGACGAAACTCCCCAGATTTACACTGAAACACTCGAGATCCGATTCAAATGTTAAACCTTGAAATTTCCATTCATAGACTTGCGCCGCTTCTTAATTGTGGGATATTTTATATATTGCGTTCCGACTCATGTCATGGGAGAGCAAATCCGTCAGAAGTAACAACCTGGCCCTTTACGTGCACGCACAGAGAGTTTGGACTACGAGGCTTCTGAAAGTGCTCATCGATTCTTGATTCTTGCTACTCTGGAAGGAGTATACATTATATGGATTAAATTAAATCCCTCCTAGATCTTGGTGTTTTTATTCGCACCTAGGTTGGGTGCCAGCAACTAACCTGCACTCCCTCAAAGTCAAAAACAGGAGGGTCAAGTAGGGATTCCTTTTGAACAAGTCAAACCAGTGTCGGCCATGATGACGACGTGCTTGTGTTGGAGCTCCACTATCCCCTCTGCTCTGTTGGAAATGGAAACTAGATGCACTTCTTATTATTTT